GTTCCACGACCAGGACGAACACCACACTGCTCCTCCTGAATCCGAGGTTCGACTATCCGACGGACCCTCCTCTCCACTTAGACTCCACTTAACTTAAAATTAGCAAAACTTAATTTAGCCAAAGCCAACTGGTGAGCTAACTTTTATTCAAAGTTAATGAAAGGAAAAATTAGTTCCACTAGCTGATAGCAGAACCATGCTCACCCACTGTTTATTTCTTGTTCAGTATCTAAACTTGACTGTCATTGTAGTAATTTTTGTTTGCTAAAGTTGTCAACTGGGGGCATTTGTCCTAGTTCGCTCCAAAAGATGATCTGGGAATACATCAAGTTCTGTGGTTCTTGAGATATTTTGGTACCAGACACAAACAGAAACAACACATTATCACCTTTTCGCCTTCAACGGCGGGCGATCGTGCTGAAGGATGTTTCTGTTTATAAACTCTGATCCAGCCCACTGTGAGTGAGCGCAGAGCTGCAGCAGCGGGGCGAGCGCACAGTCCGAACCAGCCGGATCGGACCCAGCAGCGCACAGCCGGAGACGCAAAAAATGCGCACCCCGGGCTGGGAGGAGCCTCACGGCTTTTCTCCCACACTTGTTCCGAGCCGCTCCGGAGTGAAGACCCGCTCTCCAAAGAAGAAAAGGCGGCGCGAGGTGAGTCTGCTCGCACGCGCTTCATTTAGACAGCTTCGCCAGAACGCAGGTATTCATCAAAGCATTCTCGAGGCGACAAAAAAAGCTGTAGTTGTTTGTTTTCGTGCGTAATTTTGGAGATGACACATTCTTATCAGGGCTTAAAAAAAACGAGGCGAGTGATTTGCACCTGCTTAGAATTAAATGTAAGTGCGCAGTTTGAGGTTTTTGAAGGAGCACCTGCGAGAAAGTTGAGCAAGTTGGCACAGATTACGCATCAATGCGTAATTGATTTGGAGTGAAAAACCTCATCAGGGGCTGACAGCAGTCTGGGAAGAGGCTGTTTTTTTTTTTTTTTTTTTGTGAAGATCAGAATCCTAAAAGGCTGTTTGTTCCTGGCTGCTGATACTCCTGTGTGGCGAATGGGGGCAATCATGTTCAATTTGTCTGTCTGTTAGCAAAATATCTCATGATGCCCTGAATGGATTGGAATGAAACTCATGGACATTAACCGGTGGATGTGCATCAAGAGCTGATTAAACTTTGGAGTCAACCCAATTCAAGATGGCCGCCCCAGCTAAGCGACCCCCAGCAAACACGAAAATGTTTATAAATTCTTAGTCCGTTTTACAGTGATTGTGATAAAACTTGAAGATGTTAAAGCTGAGCCTGATTTCCAATTGTATCCCCAAAATGAACTAATCTCATGAGATCTGTTCATAAAACTTAGCCATTAAAGACTGGATTCAACCATGTCTGTCTGTTAGCAAAATATCTCATGAACCACTTCACGGATTTCAGTTAAACTTTCAGAAAGTAATTATTGGWTGCACWTCTTCAACTGATTATCTTTTGGAGTCAGTATTGTAAAAGATGGCTGCTGCAGTCAGCTGACCTTGGCGAACACAAAAATGGTTGCAGATAAGTCAGTTTTATAGRTAGCAGTCTAAAATGTGGTGTGGTGGTGGCTGAGAGTTATTCACAGATCATACTAGAAGCACTAGGTCTTGCACAAAAACGTTTACTTTAAACTTTGCAATTAACTTTGAGTGTCAGCTTTAGTTGTCTGTTAGAAAAATATTTCATGGACCACTGTATGAAATTTTGTAAAACTTTCAGAAAACAATCACTGGATGAACGATTACAAATGATTAACTTTTGGAGTYGACYGAATTTAAGCTGGCCACCGCACCTAATCAGCCTCAGCCAACACAAAACTGGCTRTAGTTCASTCAGTTTTACAGATACAGAGGTGAMGTTTTGTGYGGTAGTAGCTGAGAGTCATCCTCAATAYRTTYTCATAAGATCTTGCAGTRATGCATATTAAAGGTTTGACTRAAATGGCTATAACTCAGTCATCACAAGCTGATAYTAGTCCAAGACATCTGACAGGAAAAGCAGCATGCCATATGCTTTAATTCTGCACAATGTTTAAATAACGAATCTGAGTTTCATTTCAACAAAATCGTAGCAGCGTACAGGAACATCCCGTGACCATGTTCACACTGATTATCAAATCCACGATCCTTTAGTCCGCYGGAGCGAGAAAATCTGATCACTGCTTCAAAATGACAGAGTGAGCAGGAAGTAAACTGGATGAACTGCAGCAGAGCTTTGCATCCCTGAAGCGATCGGAGAATTACAGAGAGGAGAGATTTTCTCACTGAATCGTCTCCCGAGTTATTTCAGAAWCGGGAAACTTTATTATGTGGCACACAGCAATGGGCCTGTGAGCACAAATATCAAACTGCTCCTAAGAGTAAAGTCCTTTTTTTTAAAAAGCACCATAAGTGACTTAAAAACAAGCATCTATTTGCATTTGGAGTGTGTTATGAGGATGACTCTCAGTTACTACCACAGCAAATTTTAGCTCAATATTTGTAAAACTGAGTGAGTTGAAGCCATTGCTTTGTTCTTGAAGGTTAATTAGCTGTGGAAGCTTTATCAGCTATAGATGCAAATGTAATGATTTTTCCTAAAAAACATTAAAATCCATCTTTTGGTTCAAGAGATATTTTGCTAACAGACAAACAGGGTTGATTCCAACACCTAAAATCACAGTTTTAAACAAAGAGCTTATGCAATCTATTAGTCCTCAGAGTATGTGTTGGGAATGACTATGTGCTACCACCACACAAACTCTTAGCTCAGTACCTGTAAAATTGATTAAGTTGTACCCCTCTTTGTGTTTGTAAATGTAGATTAACTGTGGCAGCCATCTTGAAAAGGGCAAAGTTAATCAGCTGTAGTGGTTCATCTGTGATTTCGGCGTTTCATCCAAATATGTGCAGTGGTTCATTAAAAGTTTTGCTAACAGACACACAATTACAGGTGTGCACGTTTCATTGCTGCTGAGCAATGACACAAAAATTTAAACTAGAACTTGTCTTTCTAAGCTTTATTATGCGAYGCTGGCTGCAGTGTTTGTTTGGTGTGCGCATGTTAACCAGCAGGGAGGACAAAATAGTAAGAGCTTCATTTTCTTTTTGGCTCGAAACGCTTAATTTCAGACCCACGTTTTTCCTTTTATGAGTGTCAGGCTGTGTAGGCGACCATCAGCAGCTCTAATGATCTGGCTTTGAACTGGCTGACTACCCCTCACTGCTCCTGCCACCAGTTTACTTCAGCCATAATGACACAGGTGTTCCTTMGAAAACCTGCATGACGTAAACAGACACACTGTAAATAAAGGCATTTTATATAAACAAATAAAAATGTAGAAAGAAAAAAAAAACTCMGGGTAGCTGTCTGAAAGAAAGCTGACTGACTGCTGCTGCGACATGTCAGCTCAGGACGTTCACCTTCCTCTAAAGGCAATCATATTCAGTTGTTTGTGATTAAGCTGCACGCGTTACTGAATCGTCTTCTCTCCTGAATTCTAACTCTCAAGCAGCGTGGCTTTGTGTCGCTGACATTTCCAGCTAACATGCGCCCTTCCTGGTAAATTGTTTTCATTGTGTTTCGTGAAAAGCTCTCACGCTCAAAAAGAAAAGTTACACTGAAGACAAGTAACTTGATCTTTAAATGCTGTCATTTCGGGATTCATTTCTGTGGTTTTCATTGGGTACTCTCTTAGAGATGAAAGATTGTTGCACGTGTTGTAAAAGGGGGTCATAAACCCACTAACCTGTCCCTGCTGTGACACCTCAGGAGTTGGGGCAGGGGCGGGGGCTTGGAAATCAGGTTCTCTCAACTGCACTCAGTGGGATATTTGTTTGGAGGTGAAGGCGTTACAATCCTCTAAAGAACCGAGTGATGGGTTAGGAACCAGCAACTGCTGAGGTCTGGGAAAAACTCTCTCCCAAAGCTGGAGGGTTTTTGTGAACATTGACATTTTTCTTATTGTTTGAAGTGAGATCCTGTGTCTCAAAGAGCTGTTCTGTTTGTTTTTAAACTCAGGTGTTAGTAGCATCATCCAGAACGATGAGCCCACCCGACACATCCAATGGCACAGGAGAAAGAGAGGCCGGCGAAGCGGATCCTTTGCTTCTGCTGAACGACAGCGCCGGCACGCCTGGTTTCCACTCTGACATCACCAAGCACCTCGGAGTCCAAATCACCCTGATCATGGCGTACTCCCTGATCATCCTGCTGGGGCTGCTGGGTAACTCCCTCGTGATCTACATGATCGTCCGCTACCGAAATATGCGGACGGTGACCAACTTCTTCATCGCTAACCTGGCCCTGGCGGACCTCCTGGTGAACACACTCTGCCTGCCCTTCACCCTGGTGTACACCCTGCTGGATGAGTGGAAGTTCGGGGCCGTKCTGTGCCACATGGTGCCCTTCGCTCAGGCCCTGAGCGTCCACGTGTCCATCCTCACCCTGACCGTCATCGCCCTGGAGCGCTACCGCTGCATCGTCTTCCACCTGGGCCAGCGGCTGACGTGGCGCTCCAGCCTTCTCATCATGGCGTTCACTTGGACGGCGTCCGCTGTCCTGGCAACCCCTCTGGCCATCTTCAGGGAGTACCGCAACGAGGAGATCCCGTCGATCAACCTGCGCATCGCCGTGTGCTCTGAGAAGTGGCCCCACGGGACCAACAGGGATGGCTTCATCTACAGCCTGTCCATGCTCCTGCTGCAGTACATCGTCCCGTTGGCCATCATCAGCTACGCCTACATCTGCATCTGGGTCAAGCTAAAGAACCACGTCAGCCCATCCAGCCGCAGCGACAGCATCAACCGGCGCAAGAAGACCACCAAGATGTTGGCGCTGGTCGTGGTGGTGTTCGCGACGTGCTGGCTGCCGTTTCATGYGTTCCAGCTGGCCAGCGACCTGGACCTGGTGCTCAGGTTCAAGGAGTACAAACTCATATACACGCTGTTCCACATCGTGGCCATGTGCTCCACTTTCGCCAACCCTCTCCTGTATGGCTGGATGAATAAAAACTACAGGAACGGGTTCCTGATGGTCTTCCGCTGCGAGGACAAGCCTGACTCGTTCCATCCGGAGGGCTCGTTCAGGACACGCTCCATCCGGGGTCAGACTCTGAACGGTCGCAATGGAGGACACCCTCCCACTGCTGTATGAGACGCTTAAAAAGCCTGAAGATTATGAGCACATTAGGCATACCTCTGCTTTAAGGAGTGTGTGGGTTTTGAAGCAGCCTTTTGACTTGAACGGACTGACCTTTGGTATCTTTGTCATCAAAGACAGCCTAAAGGTTTGCATGCTTATTGCTTTATGTAAGGCTTTTTGCTAATTTGTAAATGCAAAGTACCTGTTCAAATATGTATTCAAATGTTTGCTTAGGTGTCACTTAACTAGAAACTGTCATTTTAAAGCAAAGTTCTCATTGTCCAACATCATAGCTTACTTGCTSAAGTAGAAGTAACTGTGAGTGCTTTTTTCTTTTCTTTTCCTTCTTTGAAGACTGTTCAAAACATTTTGGATACCTGTCACCTAATTAGTCCAAATTCTGTCATTTGGAATAATGACAATGTTCTAGCGGAGTAACATACAATCCTTTTCCAAGAAACCCAAAGGGTGCAGTTGCTAATTTGCTGTWTAAACAGGAAGTTAATTGTCATCTCCTGGCAACCAGCTGTTYCAGATTTGTTGGACCAGCAGGTATTCTGTGTCCAGAGGAATGGGGCTGAAAAGGCAGTGATCCGTACCACCGGAGGGCAACTCACTGTTGACATCTTTGTTACAATAACTCATACGAGGWGATGTGAAACGAAGATGGACTTACGCTGCTGATTAAGTGCTGAGGTCTTTGATGAACACGGGGATTTTAATCAAACACAGGCCCATCTGGGCACGGATGTTGAAACTTAACCCACAAACCTCATGTGCCCGTTAGGAGTAGTGATGCTTTGTAACTTCATGTCAAATAAAGACATCTTGGCTTGCGTTTGTGTTGAAGATTTCAGATCTCAGTTGGGGTAGGAGAAAGCAAAATGTTCTTGTGAATGCAGAAACTGTCAGAAACTGACAGCACATTCATTCACTTCACTGGGTCAAGTAATTCACTTTTAGCATTCAATTAGCGAGATGACAAGTGTGGCCTATGCTATTTTCACCTTACAGCGAAGGAGARTGCATATTACATATGCATTACGGTTTCATGACACCCACATTGCTGATTTTATGGTTTAACACATTTTCCTTCTTATACTGCAAATTATAATGAAAGCTGTAAGCCTTTATCAGGACAACCAGCAGTGAAAGCATTAAGCTTATCACATTAAACCCTTTAGACACAGGAGCGAATGTGTGAGGATTATATTTTTCAAGTCTTTCACATCCAAAATTGCAACATTCTGATTAAGCTGCCACACTTTTTGCTATTAGTTTGTTAAAGCTAAGCTACGAAGTTCAAGACAAACCGAATTAACGCGACACCGAACTAAATAAATAAAAAAGAAACTCCTGAATAGTTTGTGGGACTTTGCACAGCTCGCTGCTGCCCTCTTGTGCTCACGGCTTGTGTTAACAGCTGCGCTTTCTCCCGGATGTGACGTCAATGAATGCTTGACCTTACCCCTCCATCCGCACGAGCACATTTTGGACATGGAACGCAGTGGGCGATGATTTTTGCCCTGACTGGATTATGAAGTGCAATTTTTTTTCTTCAGGTACGTATTTTCTTGGTTTTGGGACTGAACTCGTCCATTTATTATCTGATATTCCTTTCGAGAATGTTCTTTGTCGCTGCGTCCCATTCATTCATTCATAAATTAGCTTGATGCTAACCAGGAAGCTAGCAGTGTGTACGTGACAAATGTGACCAGAAGCGCTTAGCAAAGGGTAAACTGCGCTAGTTGGGATAGTTTGTGTCCGTGCTTGTAACCGTAAAGCTGTCAGTCATTTCAGAAGATTCAGTTTTGCATTGTTTATTAAATAAACTTTAAAATGCTGCGGTTGAATAGTTTGTCCTTGTGTTTTATTCTGTTATCTCTCCCTCTCTGCCTGATAAACCTACACGGTTTCTTTGCTCTGCAGCTTCAGGGTGCTGCCAGAGTAAACCAAGGGGACAATGGTGAAACATTTTTGCTGCACGGGTGTGTTGAAAAGCACCTGGGACCAAGTTTGCACTGCTTTCTGGCAACGTTATCCCAACCCTTACAGGTGAGAGCAGGTTTTATCTGCTAATGTTTTGACTCTGAGCTGCAGCTGCATTTTAAAGTTTCGTTCATAAAAGCACATCTTAAAAACAACTATCACCAGGCAAAGTGCTGCAAGAGAGAGAGAATTTATTTTTTAATTTAAATTACATTTTAAAACCTTGAGAGTTGGAGCCTGAGAGGCAGTTTGTGCCACATTTGAGGAGATTYGGCTACAAAGGCCCAATCATGTCTGTGTGTTTTGAGTACAGCCCTAAAGCAATATGTAAAACGACACAACCACGTCTTAAATGATGCTGATTAGCTTTGTTTTCAATAAGTCAGTCACACAGTATGATATAAAAACTATTTTTTTTGTTTCCACAGAAGCTATCTCTTACGAACGAAGAAGCATCACCTTTTCAAAATGTCTATATAATATACATAAAACGACATATTTCAATAAATCTGTTGATTTGTGAGGCTCTGATTTTGAGAAACTAAAAATTTTCTACGTACAAGAGGGGAAAAAAATAACTGCAGGAGCTCATGAACTCTTTTGGAAAATTGGTTTGCAAYGATTGTCTCACAAATGAAAAGGAAAACTCAACATAGATGAAAAGAGAGTTGAATTATAGTCAAAACAACAACAAAAAAAATGTTTACTTTAAAGCAGGGGTCCCCAAACTTTTCCCTGTAAGGGCCACATAACTTTTCCCTTCTCTGGGGGGGGGCCGGAGTCAGTTTGTAACAGAAAAAGTGTGACTATTGCAGGAGTGCCTGAATATAAAAAAAATATTGTTTTCCAGAAAGTACAATCAAGTAACCCTCTCTGGGTTCTTCACAGTATGTATTCTGCTGAGCTAACAGTCCACTTTTTAGCTTTGAGAGTTTGTTTGCTCACATTTGGCCTTGCAAGCTATCATACTTGTCTTTGTGACAGGATTCATAGTGTCGCCACAGATTGTATTCTTTGAATACCGACACCACCTCTTGACAGATGAACAAAAAATAGTCGTTTGTCCACTGCAGCTTAAATGTCCTGCATTCTGAATCAGTTTTCTCTCACCTAATCTTTTGGCCATTATTCCATTCTCTATTTGAGAGGGGCGGGTTTAGGATTTTTTTCTGGGGGTTGCCAGATAGGGGCACCGACCGCAGAAGGGTGGACATGTCACGTTATATGCGTGTATGTATGAAATGGTTACTAACTAATAATAATGAAAATAGTTCATAACTAAGGAACATTTTATTGCAAAAGTCCAACTTTATGATCAAATATAAATACACATTTATGAAAAAAACCTAAATGCTCTCTGGTATTGTTCTGGGGGCCGGACCAAATGGGGAGGCGGGCCGGATCCGGCCCATGAGCCGTAGTTTGGGGACCACTGCTTTAAACAGTAGCTTTAGGAGGAAAAAAATCCTTGCCTGAGGCCTAGTTCATTCAAAGGGCGAAATGACAAACCATTTCTAATTTTGAAAATGGTCTGCGTCCTCTTGGTAAAGAACTGCTGAGGGTACACGAGTCAAAAAAGCAAGCATCCTTCATGATGTGGAGCTAGGTTATTATAGTTAACTTGAGGGCCACCTTTAGCACAGAGGAGCATAAACAGGCTCTGGAGCAGCACATGTTGCCCTCCAGAGACATCTGCCCTTTCCTCAGCAGGACTCTGCACCACCTGTACACATTTAAACAGCCTTATTCTGTTAGAGGTCATCTGCAGCTCAGGCTTGCACAACCATCCACAACTTAAAACGTTCAGACCCTGAACGCTGATGGACATGAAATGAAACTCTGCATCAAGTGGTAGCAAAAAAGTATTTAAATTTTAAAACTTTATTCAGTTTACTCAATGACCAAACATATCAGCGTTACTTCTGTTCTGATAACATTAATGAGTTCTGTAGACACCGTCTTGTTAAAGAAAAGTATATATTTTTTTGCACATTAGACAGGCTGACTCACTTCCTGTTTTTTCTTAAAACCCTTTGTTTCCTGTTGGCTTTTATTGTTTTACATTATTTTAACTGTTGATAGTTTTAATGTTTTATAGGTTTTATTGTTGTTGTTTTTGGTGAGAGGGTGGGATTTCCTTAGAATTTAGATCTGTTTTTAATTTTTGTGCTTTTTCTTCCATCTATGTACAGCTAGTATCTATGTACTACTTTGGCAAGTAGTGTTTATTTTTTTAACGTGCTTTATTGTTAAAGTTGTTTTATTATTTGTTATTTAATTTTATTTGTTGTAAATTAATCAGATTTCTTAATTTAAGTGTTTCATTAATTGTAAATGGGTTAAGTTTATATTTAGTTTTTACTTTTTTGTTTGGTTCTTTAATTCAGATATTTATGTAAAGGCTGTTAAATTACCTTTTTTTGTTTAGGAATTATTAAGCTATAAATTTAAAACATTTTTTTTTAACTTAAAGAGTTTATTGTTTTGAAGCAAACTTGTTTCTGATCGTCCTGACTGATTGAATTTCTCTCCGCTCACAGTAACCACGTGTTGACGGAGGACATTGTTTTCCGAGAAGTTACCCCCAACAACTGCCTCGTTTCCAGACGTCTGTTGACCAAAACCAGCCGTGCGCCTCGATGGATGGAGCGGTATCTTCCGAAACACATGTCCAGCTCGGCGTACATCATCGAGGACTCGGTCGTGGACCCTCAAAAACAGACCATGACCACACTAACGTGGAACATCAGCCACGCTCGCCTCATGGTAGCTGCGTGTTTTTTCAGCCGCTYGCACTTTGCGCAGATTAAAGAGGTGGCCTCATGTTGCCTCCGTTTTGTGTTCGCAGTCTGTGGAGGAGCGCTGTCAGTACAGAATAAACCCCGAGAACAGCAGCTGGACGGAGATCACGAGAGAAGCCCGGATCTCTTCAGGCGTCTTTGGGCTTTCTAGACCTATCCAGGTTAGTAAAAAAGGAGAGGAGACCCAAACGATTCAGTCTGTATGAGACATTGACCCACCTGCCAATCATTCTGTGATTTGTTTTTGGATTGTTGAGGAAGAGTACTTCCTCTTTGCTGCCAAACTCGGTGCTGATTAAATGAGGGAGTGATTGATTTATTCTTTGTTTTCAGGAATTTGGTCTGTCCAGGTTCAAAACGAGCGTCACAAAAACCATGAAAGGCTTTGAGTACGTGCTCGCCAAAATGCAAGGTGAGTTATGATGCAAGAACTTTAGTTTCTCTGTGATTGTACATTTTATGGCTGCTGTCCACTTTTATAACTGTATGCAGGTGGTGAGTTAAAGTGCATGAAATGTAATAAAATGATCAGATTGGTATTTTGTATGCACTTTGTATCTGTGTTTATTATAAACAAGGAGGAATAAAACATTTTTCTAATATATTTAACTTAAACATTGATGGTGCAGAAAAAGAACTGATGATTTGACCAACACACCAAACAGAATCCATAAACTGTTTGTTCTTGAGTGTTTTTCTGCTTGAATACATTTTTGTCRTTTCACACGTGTGGCGATAAAAGCTTTACAGTTTTTTATTCTCAGATGAGCTAAAAGCCACTGCAGATAGTAATAAATTCAAATGTTTTTGTTTGAAAAACTCCACATCTGACATGGACTTGATTTATGATTGGAAATAAGAGTGGCGTGTTGTGTTTGTGCAGGTGAAACTCCGTCGAGGACCTTGGCAGAAACCGCCACGGAGCGAGCGAGAGAGACGGCGCTGGCAGCTAAAGAGAAAGCCAAAGACCTGGCCTCACACGCTCAGAAGAAACAATATGTATGATGAACTGCAGTGTTTGGTACCTGGACCTATGTACCTCTCTTCTTTTTTAAAACAGGGTCATTTAGTTACAGATCCCAGTCATGGTTGAACACCTCTGAGGATGAATGGAAACTGTTAAAAGGCCCGAGTTTATTAGACCTCTGATGCTRCAACACGTCCATGTTTACCACAGATAAGAGATCCTGGATATGATGGTAGAATACAGCCCAGCATGCCATAAAAAGATTAAATCCAACACTGGAAGTGTTCCTTAAACCTTTGCTCAACCTCTGTTTCCACCAGCATTTGCTTTTTATTTACTCCCAGCTCCTGGACCGTGTCATGTTTTAGTCAATCAACAGCACTTCTCTTGTGATTTTTGTTTGTTGTTTTATTGTCTCCATTGGGTCATCTCACCCAGTTATATACCTCTAATAATAATTCAACCAAGGCTGATGATTTTATTGCTTCATGATGAAGTATTAGCTGCTGAAGAGTCTGTATTGTTGGCAATCATGGCTTCATAATAAATTCTCTTAACCTTCCTGCTACAGTGGAGACGTCAGATTGTCCCCCTGTATAAATACAGACCACCTTTGCATCATTAAGTTCTATTAATATTATAGCAAGTAAAATCAATCTGCTACTAAATAAAGCCTTTCTAATCAGAAGATCAGAGCTTTGATTCGTTTGTGTTCACCAGGTGCTGAAGATTTGACACCTCTGCAGCTAAAAGTTAAATGTTTGGATTCTTTGTAGGAATTCATGGTGCCCATCGCTTCCATCGTGTTTTGTTGAGAAATGGGAGTTACAGCTGTTTTTGACTCAAAAGCTGTAAAACAATGTTTTACTGACGCAGTGTTGGCCATCTTTAATCTGATGATTACAAAACTTAATCGGCTGTAAATGTACTGGAAGTGATATTGAAATTCATCTAGTCGTTCATGATGATATATTTTGCTAACAGACAGGACTTCTAACAGTACATGGCAAAGATTTGCACAGACCACGTGTCGCTGTCGGCTACGTCCACACCAAAGATTTTAGCTTGGTATCTGTGAAATCAGCTAAATTAGAGCTGGTTTTGTGGTTAGCTTCAAAATGTAATTGGTTTTAGCAGCTTATGATGTGTTTTGCTAACGGTGTTGACTCCAAATAGTTATTAGCAAGTCTTAACTTAAACTACATGTTGGGGATGATGCTCAGCTACTACCACACTTAACTTTGGGTCAAACTAATATTGACTAAGCTACAGACATTTGTGATTTTTTTTTTTCAGGACAGCTGTGGCAGCCATCTTTGATCAGCTGACTGTAGATGTACACTCAATCACTCCTGTAAAGTTTCAAAACATTTTTGCTAACCATGATTCCTTATCGAATAATTAGCTTCAACAAGTCTTCTTTTGTTAAGAACCACAGGATAAACACAGAACATGTAAATATAGAAAATATTTATTTGTTCCAAAAACAAAACAAAAAACATTACAACCAAAATATGCTACATAATATTACTGGGCGGAGAGACATATAAAACACAATAAGGCATCTTGCATATAGAAAACGAAGAGGAAAAGCACCTTCAGGTATTAAATATGATACATCCTGGTTAAATACCTTCAATTGCATAATCGTTACAAGTATTGCCTACCTGGTGAATTTGTTGTGTGCATAATTACCATTTTTAATATCGCTTTAATGCTCTTACAACCTAAACACATTACATTTCAGCTCTTTGTAGCTATTTCAAATTTTTTGGCAGTATTACCTAAATACCAGTTGTGACCAATTCATTGTTTTACCTTTAAGCATACCCAAAATCTTTGAGACAACACAAGTGCAATGAGTGGACATCATGTGCAACAGACAGAAAAAAAAGAGCTAATTATGAGACTGAACATTAACATGACGATAATACAAGATAGCAAAGATTATGTGCATGCAACGTGTGACAATGTGGAAATAAGAACGGTGCTGAATGAGAAGATGTGTGGATTAAATCTGGTTTAAGGCAGAGTTCAGAACAAATAAGGTGTGTCAGGAGTTTTGTATAAAAGCCCWTGTTTTCTTGTTTTGCCCGGAATGAATTAATGACTTGATGAATGCCTGCACCTGTGGATGTTAAACACTTTGAGAGTAAAAAAATATACGTTGAGAGAAAAAGCTTATGTATGATTTAACATCCATCCCAGTTCAGTGCAAATGGACACTTGTATTAGCGTGGACTCATTCTGACAAGACAAAAGGTCTCAAAAAGAGAAAGAAGAAAAGTGTTCAGTTTTAGTCATCTGTCATCGCTGTCATCTGTCTCATGTTTTTGGAATGTTTTCTCCTCTTCCCTCCCCCCCTCCACATGGCAGACGCTTCATGTTTTTACCCGCAGTCATAGCCAGGCACTGTCCACGCTGGAGTACGAGTGGTCTGCGTCAGTGTGTGCAATACTCAGCCCGTCAGAGTCCACACAGTCAAACACGATGCTCTCCACATCAACCTCCACGTCCTCTGCAAGACACACACAGACACGAGTCAGACTCGCCAACAGAAACATAAATCACTTTGTTTTTCTTAACACAAACAAGGGCTGTGAAGGTCTGAAAGCACCGGATTGCATTAGGATTCAAGTGTCTCCAAAATGTAAACTAAACGAAAGAATTAAACATTTTTGGAGAAAAAGAAAAAATGTACCAAAATTTTGCAATTTGTTGTAAAACAGCCAAAAAAGCAGAAAAKTAGCTGGAAAAAACAAACAAACCAAAGTTAGTAAAACAAGCTAGGGGAAGCTAAAATCATCAAAGAAGTTTAAAAAAGCAGAACTAGAACAAAAGGTAAAAACTGCAGGAAAAGTTACTATTTTGAAGGATCTTTAAGACGTTGAAGGCAGCTCC